TCGCAGGTGGTGCTCCAATTCGTAGTTCCAGCTCCATCCTAACATCCATATAAGCTTTGGGTTTTATTCAAAACAGCGCCCAAAGGCTTCATTACACTTATAGCGCTCAGCACGTGGTGCTTTTTGTTTTATTAATGACAAAAAAATGACAGGTTAGCAGAAAATAGCGACGAACATGCTCAGCCCACAGTTTTTTTCTCCATGAAGGAATTGCCCAAAAGGCAGCGTTTTTCGTCGCCTGTCGACAAAAAACGCGGATATTGAAAATGAAACAAAATAGAACTTTCGTTTTACATTTCTTGTCGGGTGTAGCTTTCAGATAAAATTTGTTAAAATAGATTAGTGACCATCGGACCTTGCCATAAGGGAATGTATGTTAATAAAAAATGGAACTGTGTGATATACTCGGTATACTTCTTCTTCTTCTTCTTTTTTTATAGATATGACTGTTTTTTAATGTGCCTCCAATAAGTTATCATTCCATCGTTTTCGTGGTCTTCCTATTGGTAAACCGTCTCTTGCCGTCTTTACTACTCTATTTGTTGTCATTCGGCTTATATGATCGTTCCATTCTACTCTTCTATTTATTACCCATTTTTTTATGTTCTCCACCTTGCATCTATGTCGTATATCTGTACTTCTAGCTCTGTCCATAGTGTCTTACCATCAATTTTTTTAAGTGTTTTCATCTCCGCTGTTTCTAACATCCTTTTTGTCCTCTCTGTGTCAGGTCTTGTTTCTGCCGCGTATGTCATTATTGGTCTGATGACTGTTTTGTAAATTCTGCCTTTCGTTTCTTTCCCGATATTTTTATTTCTCCATATTGTTTCATTTAGGTAGCCTGCGGCTATGTTTGCTCTATTCAATTGATCTTCCACTTCGGTTTCGAGCTTTCCGTAGCTAGATAATGTGATGCCTAGATATTTAAACTCCATCACTTGTTCTATTATCTGATCTTCCAGCTCCAATTTACATCTTAGTAAATTTTCTTTTGTAACCATGCATTTTGTCTTTGTTGGGAAAATTTACATGTTAAATTTTCTGGCGGTTATATTAAATTGATGCAGCATACGTTGTAAATCATCTTCACTTTGAGCGAGTAGTATTGCGTCGACTGAATAGCAGATTATTTAAAGTTGTTTTCCTCCCATTTGGTATCCTTTTTTTGTTCTTACTTTTTTTATTATCTCATCCATAATCAGGTTGAACAATAGAGGACTCAAGGAATCTCCCTGTCTTATCCCAATTCCAGCTTAAATAGGGTCGGTTAGTTCTTCTACTACTTTTACTTTTATTGTGTTGTTTTCTGTTTTGTTCTATTATTTTTTGAATTAGTTTTAATAGTTGTTTGGTCAGAACTAGTCCTCCGTACTTTAGGAGTTCGTTCGATATTCTGTCCTCTCCTGGGGATTTTCTATTTTTTAATTTCCTTAATGCTTCCTTTACCTCTTCCTCCTCAATATTTATTTCTTCGTTTGTCGTCACTTCTGGTGTTGGTTGTTCATCATCGTCACCTTTAGCAAACAGGGATTAAAAGTAGGCTACCCACGTTTCCTTCTGAATGTGTTTCGTTTTTATTAGTTCGTTCATCTCTTTTCTTTGTCCTCTGATTATTCTCCATATTTCTTTTTGTGTTCCGTAGAAATCGTGTTCCATCTGTTTTGAGAAACTCTGCCAGTGTTCCTTTTTTATTTGTCTAACTATGCATGTGGTTCTATGCCTGTTGTGTTCTGTATTGTAAAAAGTCTTTCTTCTTTTCTTCACCTTTTGTCTTCACTTTCTCTGTAAACCATGGCGTTTTCTTTTTTGATATGTTAGTGTTCGTTACTTTCCTCTCTCCTGTTTCTGTTGGTGCGTTAATTATATTATATTTGAGTTTTTACCAGCTTTCCTCGATGTTATCGTTTTCTAATATTTCATTTCCAGCGATCTTCTCTGATATTCTTTCCCTATATAAGTATTCCGTCGACTCCTTATTTAGTCCTTCGACTTTAATTTTCGTTTTTTTTTTGCCGTCTCTCTCTTGAGTGGGAAGTATTTCAGGATTATTCTTATTTTACATAATACTAGGCTATGGTCGCTACCTACATTGAGGCATCTTACGTCGAATATTTTTGACGGATGTATATCTCTGTTGGTTATAATATAATCTATCATAGATATTTGTCCACGGGTGTTATTAAATGTATATTTGTGTTGGTCTTCGTGGTCAACAAATGTGTTGTTTATTCTTAGTTCGTTATTCGTGCAGAATTTGATCATCAGTTCTCCATTTTCGTTTTTAACATTCTCGTTATGTTTTTGTTAGATGCCGGATATTATTGGTTGCCTATTCGAGCGTTAAAATCACCCAATATTATCATCTTTTCCTCTGACTTGATCTACTACTTGTTGTAATTGGTCGTAAAACGCTTCCCTTGTTGTTTGAGGCTTATTATTTTCTGGGCCTTATACTTCGTACACAAATACATATTATAACTATTCGCATAGTAAATAATGCAAGAATCGTTAGCCGCAAATACACTTCATGAAGAATTAAGACAATGTTTTTTTTTAATTATCTGACGATAAATACCACAAAAATGGTCGTTTTTCAATTTTCTCAATAAATAGTGCACCATCGAGGTGTTTTATGGCAATAACACACGTCTTCACACATCGATAAACGTCTGCAGGCTAACAAGTTCCTATCGAACCACCGCCGACAATAAACTCGTTGCATAAAGCACTGATTTAATTCAATGTACTTATAAAACGTCTGTCGCGACGAGTTCTCTAAATCCGGGCAACAGAAATGCCGCGACACGGGCATCGAGCGTCTCGTGCATAAAAGTGCACATATAAGACAATTACTTATTGGACCGCTTTTGTCGCTACGCGCAGCACAAACCCGTGAATATAAGCGGCCTGACACTAAATACCAGTCAAATCGTCTAGATCGTCATATTCTTACTACCACCTTTTGGATATTTCGATCAGTTTCACGATATAACAGAAAATTCAACAAAATTACATAAGTAGAAGTATCAAAAGAAAATTCCCTCCGAGAGCCGCGAGATCTTGATTTTTTATACTCGATCTTGGTTGCCAATTCTACAATTCTACGAGGTCAGCATGACCAAGTGGAAGCTAAGGATGTCCCAATTACAGGTATCAAAGAGATTTAGGTTTTATCAGCTTTCTACCAGTATGCGCAGCTCTTCTCGTCGGGAAGGTTTAAGTACCTGTTGAAGCAAGATCTCTACTAAAACCTATCTGAAACCCCTACACACAGACGTAAGGTATACAAAAAACATTGTTCAAATCTTCTTCTTCTTAACATGCCATACACCAAAGTGCGTAGGCGACTATCTCATTACTAGAATTCTGTTCTTGGCGGCATGACACAGCTCACCTGTATTGTGTATTCCTGTTCATTCTTTAATATTCCTTAACCAGGATAATTGTTTGCGGCCGGCTCCTCTCCTACCTTCGATCTTCCCTTGTAGGATTAACTGTGGTATTTCATATTTTGCTCCTCTCAATATGTGCAAAAGGTAACCAATCTTGCGTTTTTTAATTAATTCAAAGAGTTTCTCTTTGACGTAATCGTTTCGAACTCTATCCACCCAAGGTATGCGCATCATTCTTCTCAATGACCACATTTCAAATGCTTCAAGTTTGATGATAGATGTTTTTTTTTTTCAAAGTCCACGTTTCCATACCATAAAGCAAGATGAACCATATGTAGCACTTGACCATTCTGTAGCGTATTTCGAAGTTTAGGTGTTGATTACATAGGAGCGGTCTGAATTTCACAAAAGGATTATATTTGTTCAAATCATTCAAGGATTATATTTTATTGACAGTCTATCCAATCACAAAACTGAAATAGAAAATGTTTCACAGTTTTAAGTTATTTATACATTAACATCAATAGAATTCACAATATGATAATCTTTCCTCCCCCTGACTTTCCCCCTAGTCCTGGCATACCACCTTTTTTCTCATAGGTGTAGTTAATATAGTTCACCTGGGAGGGTAGTTTTCTATAGCACCATGTCATCTGTCTGTGCTTTATATTTTTTATAAGAGCCTAGAGGCGATATAAAGTTATTTCAACTTCTTGAGATAACATTTTCACATATTGACCCAAATATTCTTTCATTTTAAGATAAGAAGATGATTTACATATGTTTTAGAAATAGCCACATTTTTGACTCATATGTCTGTACTGATTAGATGAGTGAGTATCTTATATATTGTTAATTTTTTTTGGCTTAGGCTTTTGCTCTTTAGGTATTTGCTTAATACAAAGTAACAATTGTTTGCTAGTAATATCCTTCTTTTTTATTTCATCCATTGTTAAGGTATCATTGGTCATACGGGTCTGAATAGATGTTATTATTAGTTGGCTCTACAGCCCTTCGTGAGCCCTGGCCTACTTCAAAACATTCTTCCATCCTTCCCCATCCAGTGTCTGTTTTCTCCACCCACTGACTTCGTTAATTGTATTGGGTAAATGTATTGACTTGACATGATTCCCTGGATAAATGTATTGTCCCAAATTCAATAGATTTCTTCCTTGAACCAAGAGGAAAGCTATGTACCCGAGACTATGTAAGTTTCAAAACTATATGGTTTTCCTTAAGGAGTTATTACACAGAGAGACAGAAGACAAATAGACAGATAACAAATGACATCCAGAAGGATCTCAGGTCCTTAATAACATGGTTAGATAATACATATATTAAATAATGGAGCATATTACATGTCCATACAGTTTTTAAGAAATAAGAAGAGAGCATAAGTTTTTCATGGTGATATCAATTTTCAGTAATAAAATCAGCACTAAAAGGCAAATATAATCTATGAAAAGAAACCAGCCCAATTCCAAAAAAGAAACGAGTCATATTTTAAAATTAATATTTATGTACATTACATTAAAAACCTAGTAGTTAAAAAAATATACTGGAACATAAGCAATGTTAAATTAAGTATAGTAAACATGAGACACTTACACAACATTTGCGAACTTTGTAGCCCAAGTCTCCCAGGTTTCTTCAAGCATTTCGCCATGAGGGTCGACTATTTTTACCCCATTATCTGCCTCGGGGTTGTGAGAAGCAGTGATCATTACACCTACTACAGCTGAAAATGAAAATATTTTAGCTTCATAATATTTTGATAAAACTTTTTATCATAATTTTTATTTCTGCAAAAATACTATCTGCATAATATTATAATGAACTCATTTTAACCAAGACTTGACAAATTAGATAAGTGTGGACAGTAAATCATGCACCATAACAAAAGGTCACAATAATCTCAATTTTATGGAAAAGGATATTGATAAAAACATCTGCTTTTTGAATTGATAGAAAACATTAGATATGAAACAAAACAAAAACTATTTTGTTTCACTTCATAAACAAGAGAGAGCAAGTGTTATGAGAGCAGGTGACTCTTCACATAGCGAAGCATCGTTACAACAGCTGTCACTCAAACCCGCCAGATTAACTAACCCAAATCAAAAACATAGATGTGAGTCTAAATCTTCAAAAAACATTTATTTGTATATCATGTCTGTCTAGCGTGTATGTATGGGAAGATCATTGATAAAGTTGTGAATGGATTTTTGGGAACATCATACAATTCAACAAGAATTACTTATTAAAGTTCTCTAAGATTCATACATTTAAGAACTCTGTTCTCTACAGAACATTACATTGACATTTACATGACAGATTCACTGTTCGAAATATATTTATGAATCTAATCAATTCATATCAATATCTCCAAAAGCCTGTCACCCAGCATCATGTGGTATAAAAATGAAATTGTTACCAAGAAATTAATGCATGGTATAGAATTCTAAGGTGTTATCTAAATGTAGTGAAATTTCTTTTAAATACTATTATTCTAACAACACATTAGGAGACTTTTGAAGCTACTAATATTGACTCAATCAAAAATAAAAATCACCACCAATTGTCAATGATAATCTATTTATTAGTCCTTTATTCTTTATTAGTCTTGTATCATATTCCCTTATACTAATACTAACACACACAGACTGATACTTAAACAACAAATTTTAATCATCACCTTAAAAAAAAAAGAAATGAGTCATAAAGCCTTTACTGATCATGCTACTCAACTATGTAAACTTAATTCTGTTAATCCACAATGGAAGTGTGCTGGCATGTTTTGGAGCAAAGTTATGAACAAATGGATCTGAATGTTTTCTTCTTCTCCTTATGACTTATTTTTTGTTAAAGGCAAAATCATAGAGTGTTGAAACTTGCACATTGGATCCTCTTAGTCTAAGGAAGAACTCTATTAAGTTTGAGGCCAATAAGTTTTTTTGTCCTTCTCATATTCTTTTTCTTGAAGGAAAAGTCCTTCAATCTTAAAACTTTGTACATAGTTTCCTCTTTATGTAAGGAAAAGCTGTTGGATTTGTGTGATCATGTGTTAATAAGAGTTCCTCCTCTTCATCACATATTCTTGAAACTTATTGAACTTAAGATCAATACGTGTTCTTCCTCTCCTCATATTTATATTGCTTTTCTTTTGTTTGAACAAAAAGTTATATTCTTGAAAAATGATACAAAGCTTACTCCTGTTATGTTCAAAAACTTTTAGGTATTTTCATACTCCTTTGCCACATTAATCTTATTATATCTTTAATTAACATATTATATCTTTAATTATTATATAAAAGAGTTTCTTAACACATCATTGTTAATTACTTTTTATATAATAAATTATTTCATCCCCATTGCTTGAATTAATTTATATTTTTCTGTCTTCTACCATTATTAATTTCTTATATAGTAAATCAGAAAAGACAAAGTGCAATTTTATAAAAGTTTATTTTAATGTGGTGTTTGAATTATTCTGTCACTTGTTTAATTATTGTTGATCTATAAATATAATTTCCTTCATAAATAATTGCAAGGCATTGAAATTCCATTCATTCTTAGACATTTCCTTTTATGTACAGTTGATCTATTCATTTCCTTGTTTTATATAGATTCAAATCTTAACATGTTTAGCATACAGGATTTAGAACAATAGTAAAACTAAGATAAGTTAAACTGTTATCTAAATCTGTAAGTACAGATTAGAACATAAATTATAAATGTAAAAGATTAGAACAAAAATTAGTATTTTTCCTTTATCAAAAATCAAAAATATTTACATAAATAAAATTTAAGGAAATAAAACAAATGATTATAACAGAGTTACATGTAGAAAAAAATGATTGTAAATGTTTACTTGATGATTTAAGGGTTAAAAATAGAAATATTTTGAGAAAATAAAATGATAACAATAAATCTTTCAATAGATTGGCTTTAGTAACATATTTCACTTACAAGCAGTAATTAAAATCATTCCGACTATATTTAAATGAGCACTTTCACTTTCAACTGACATTTTTATTTTTATTGTGGAAGTAACATTGGAATCTTACCTTTTTTGTACCTTGCTCTGAGTACAGCAAGTAAACCCATTCTGTACATCACATGGTGCAGTTCAGTAGCCCTACAATGTAATAAAGGCATTTATTAACTATTTTCTTTCATAATTATTCAATTTAACCACTTACTTTGTTCTAAAACCTGCTGTCCCATATTGCAAAAAAGAGTCCTTTTTCTTGGGATACATTTCTCTGGCGAATGCATATACAGTTCTGTAACTATTATTGTTTGACATGTTGAACAACTGGGATACAATATGTAGTACTTTATCACACAAAATATAAATAATTAATTTAAAATTATCTTAAATCAAAATTGTACGATCCCCACCACCTTTGGAGTTAGATGAGTAATAGAATAAACTGTCAAATTCAGATGGTTTAGAACTGAAAGTAGAGTTGTAAGAGTTTAATATCTGGAACAACCGTTATTTTGGAGCGACCAAAACAGTAAAATTATAAATTTGCATTTTGCGTTGCACCCGTTTTGGTGTAAACTGTAAACTCTTTTAAAAATCAATCAACCCCTTCGCTATAGGTTTATTTTTAATTATTATAAATATAATAATAATAAAATTAAGACTATTCCTTTATGTAATAAACTAAACATAAATAGTTTAAAAATTAATTTATTATGAGTATAAATAAATCCAATTTATTCGTTTATGTTTTTTAATTGGAATTATTTATTATTTTTAATTTAAAGTGCCACAGTAAAAAAAGATAATCTCATCCCATCTCCACCCAATATGTCACAATTCTCGCCCCTTTACTATAAAAGGTATATAGTCACAAAGTTTGAAAAATTTTGGTTTTGTTTAGTATCAAATTTGAGGAAAAACGTGTAAAAGTAGATTTTATTAACTTAATATCAATTTTTATGTTGCTGTAAAGATTGTAAAAAATAAGTTAAAAGTATTAGAATTAGAATTATAATAGCTGAATATAAATAGCAAATATTCCAAGATTTTCTTCTTATATAGTGAGAGTTAGACAGATTGTTTACAAAGAAGCACTTTTGGCACTTGGCAGCCAGATTGGCTATTCAACCATATAATAATTACATTTATTTCTTTATGTGCATAACAAAACAGTACTTTTATTTGTTATTGTATTAATTCGTATGATATTTATTAGGAACATTGTTGCCTCTTTATATAGTATTTATTTTAATTGGTAAGTTGCGTTCTTGCGTTTTATAATCTTATATTAAAATGTAAGGTGCACCTGCTCCATATTCAGATGTTTATTAAGAAGTTTAGCGCTATGATATTATGATAGCGTTCTTGTACCAAAAATAATATATATAAGAGCTTTTTATAAATATACCTATTGCAGTGTTAGGTACATTCACAGGTTAGGTGCATTGTGATTTTCTCATTGTTATCCATTTATTTATTTTTATTGTAGAAGCAGAACCCTAACAATGACTCTCTCCAACCAATGCCAGAATCCTTCACCAGATAATAACTTGTCTGATATATTAACTGCAGGAAAAATGAATAATATGGAATCTGAAACCAGTGTCACTAGGAAGTTATTGCCTCTTGCAGCTTTTTTTATGGCTTTTACTACTGTCATGACAGTGCTGATTGTTTATATGGATAATACTGGTAAATAAATTAAATAACAAAAGGATACTTCCTGTAATATAGTTAAATTTTCTGCAAGAGTTCTATTCAACTGAGATATTAACATCAAGTTACCTTTTGTATTTAGATGTAAAGTAAATTATTCATAAACACTTGAATTTTACTTATATCGTTGATTGGGAAGAATAGTATGATATTTCAAAAACATTAAATTTTCAGAAATGGCGATTAAAGATTGAGATGGGTTTCGAGATCGAATAACTTAAGCAATACATTACTAAATATCCTTTTGATCATAATAATTAAGGCTTACAGTAGTAACTGACAATATAAGTTTTTCATCCGATCCATATACCAGCCCCAACCCATATTTTTCATCCCCATTTTGAGTTATAATAGTTTTCTATATAAATATCTTGTGTTGTTTTACAATTATTAGTTTATTAGGGACAATAAAATGGAACAGTTTAAAAGTTTTATTTGAGTATAAACAACAAACGAATGATAAAATAGCAGCTGTAGTACAATATCAGTATAAAAACATTAAAAAGCTTAGCCTTCCATTAAAAAAATTAAAGTTTCTACAAGTTAGCGTAAAAATCCCTATAGTATTGTGGCATTACCGCTACATTTTTTTTCTTTGCAAAGAGAGAGAGCAAGCCAGCTTTCTTTTTTTCATTTATTCCTACCTTTTTCCTATAAGCTTGTTTAAGAGTAACATCACGTGGTGATGGAACTCGTCGTTTGCTTTGAAGAACGTTTAAGGAATTAAATTCCTCTTGTTTGTATGACATTTTATACATCAAATGACTAGGATTTTCTTTCGTAACTTTTAATATGCATATTCCTGAGAGAGGGACTGAATCACCTTCTTCCGTTTTAAAAGAATCCTTCATCCCCATATCACTTGAGAGTTGTTTCAGATCAAAAAAATTCTCATAACACATTTCATGTACGGTGAATGGATTTCCATTCTTCTTTGCTTGTCTAACCAATGTTACATATTGATCTGGTACGTAAATTGGAGAAAATTTTTTAAATTTAGTAATTGAACGTTCTATAATAGAATGGACATGGTCTCCCTCGTTCTGAGTGTGACCACTAATTAAAAATTTATGGGTGATGGACCTAATATTTTCTAGAACAGAAACAGCATGTATGTATAAAGCAAATACGAAGCGGTTCTTATTTTGACCGAAACAGTTGTCAGTATAAAATACAACATCTACCATTTCAGTATTTTTTGCGTTCACAGACTGCAAATAAGCCCAAACGCACGAACCCACTTCATTTGCGCCTCTGTGAGCTAGACCTTCATGCCACATAAAGCACATTGCTTCCGTGCTTTTAAGCTCGTACAATGTTAAATTATACACACTTAGTTTTGATACATAATAAAAAGAAGACGAGTCCCCTTGCGGGCATGGCAATGCTGCCTGCATATCATAAACAGCGACAATTTTATCTGGAGAATGTTTATCTATGTCCTTCTCTTTTCTTGACAGTTCTTTGTCTTCAATATGGTTGTTGTACTGTTCCTGAAGTTCTTGTTTTTCTAACTCGGAGGCATTAATAAAACCCTGGCAAAAATCACACTTATCTTTTTTTGGAATAAAAAAAGATAAATTAAACTCTCCCTTGAATATATTGGAGTACATCAAATAATTTACGCTCGGCTTCTCGAGTTCTTTGCAATGCTGCTCATAATCTCTGTGGAGGTCGGCAATAGTTTTTCCTCCTTCAATGTATTCTTTCTTTGATTGAGATCGGCAGTAGTGGCTCTCCATTCGAGGAATAGATCGGATATGATTACGCACTTCTTCTTTTAACTCCTCAGGAACACTGCTATGTTTTTGGTGTCTGCCTCGATTATCTGCCTGTATAATTCCATTTACGTCATTATTTTGTTTGCGTAAAACGGTTTCAATTACTTGAGAGTTAATGCAAAGGGTTGCCATGAAGAAGGACTTGCAAACACGAATTTTTTCTCCTGCGTATGTGAAAAAAAATGCGTTATTAAGACCACGTATTTTTTTAACCGAACTTGTATACCGGTATCTTGGTTTTATGGTTGTAGTACAAGATGCAATATACATTCTTTGTTTTTGAAGGTCAGCCATACTCCAGTAATCGTCGAAAATTTTCTGTCTTTGTTCATCTGCTAACTTAAGTGAACATTTATAACGACATTTATCAGCATTGCAAGGGGGTCGCATTATTCTAGCCTTACGATTGACTAATACTCGATCTTTGGTTCCATCTTCATTTTTCGTGATTTTTATTGAAGCATAACTTTGGCCACTATTCCTCATCATTTTAGCAACATTTTTTTGCCACTGAGATATCTTTCTCTTTCGCTTTTTTACATTTTCTGGTGGGGGACATGGGTTTTTAACAGAGCGTCTTTTGTTGCTTAAATTTTGGTTCCAAATTAAAGGAGGCCCCTCATCAGAAGAATCATCAGAGGATGACGAAGAACTATTTGAAGAATAATTTGGGTCGCCTGAGGTGTTATCAAAGACTGAACTACTAGAGGAACTGGTTGATATGGAAGACGAAGAGCTGCTACTGTCCTTTTCACGCTCACTACTGATTGTAACGTCATTATTTATAAACGTTGGTCCTCTTTCATCTTCAGCACCTGTTGTTTCATAGATAGTTGGACTTTTTTGGTTTTCTTTGTTTTCAAAATCAACAGCCATATGAAAATATTGTTCGTATTGTTTTTCAGCTAAAGGAGAAGCAATTTTAGGATTTTCATTTGTATCAGTAGTAAACTTGTTGACAGAATCACTGACTATGGGAAAATTATTGGTTTCACTTTTATTAGTCACAAATAATTGTTGAGTATACAAACCGCTACTTTCATGTCTGGCATTATCTTCATCTGTTTCGCAAATCTTACTAGCGAGGTCTACTAGAATACGACTTCTATTCCCACTCATTTTCTAGAACAAAATATTATCCATTAGGTCCATAAAAAATTGTGCAGTCAACACACATAATATTTATTAATTCTTTTCTACACACGGATTGAAATTTGAACCACCAAATTTTTGTTACATGTCGCACAGTCGTTTACAAAATGAATCGCTTACTAATCTATTTTTATCAAGTTACACCTACGCAAGAGGTTTGTATTAAATACTTATTCCCTCTGACCCTATTAAAAAATGTTATCTTTAACTGGTAAAATTCCCACGGTTTAGATATCGGCCAAACGCGAATGGTTGTTGGATGAATCAGTTGTTTCTTGAAAAGTATCATTTCCAACGTACTAATGAATAAATCAATAATAAAATCTCTTGCAGTAGAGTTTTCAAAGAAATGAAAATCTCAGTTTAATTAAGTATCTAGTAAGAAAAAATATTTTAAGGAATAGAATGATAAAACGAAATAATTTCTTGGATTTGAGTTAAATTATGCTGAAGACAATGTTAACTAAAAATAACAAGCTATACTTAGGGCAAAATTCTATTCAAAACTATATTAACTCAAAATGAAATAAAGATAAAAAGCTCACTGGTGTACTTATTTTATTCAAGAGTATGATATTATTTGTAATCATCATATTGACCAAGATTATAATAAAAATAAATGCTTACCTGTTAAAGAAGAGTATGATATTTTGAAATATAATTCTCTTGATCCAAAATATTCACTAATAAGACGCAAGCAGTTTGAATATTTTGACTTGTAATAGTATTGATTAAATAAAAATATCTTAAGTCTAGCGCGAACTGTAGACAACTAAGTTGCCCGAGTCTTCTCCATAACGGTTGTGTGGAAGTGGGAGATGCCATAGTTGGTCACAGAGCCCTCTAGAGCTTGTCGTTTAAATTGCAGTTGTAATACTTTTCTTCCTAATAGATCCATTCATTCTGAGTAGTTTGATGACATAAATTAAAAATGAACCAATTTTGACTTATCATACTATTCTTCCAATCAACGATATGTATGCACTGTAATATCACTAAAATTCATTTTGACAATAATTTAAACCAAACCTAGAGGCTCAATAAGATAAATATATAAATAAAACATTTGTCAGAATTTGAAAAAATGTGTCCAAACAAGAATCTGACCAAAAAGTATAAAAGTAATTTTTAATTATCATTTACTGAATTTGTTCTTTATAGAGACATATCAAAATAACACATTCATACTTTAATGCCATAATACTGCATATTCTTTGTTTAATTTATGAAGATTACATTATTTTATATTAGTATTATGTGAGGAATTGAGGCTCAAAAAAAGTTACTATCAAAAACGAAGGGGAGTAGTCTTTTTCATAATAAAAGACTAGGACATTTTATTGTGCATTCTTCTTTATAAGTAGGTGTAAAAATAGAAAAATCACATGTTTCAACATTTTGTTATTTACCTCAAAAACTGTAGACATATAGACAAGATAGGCTGACTGCTGTATGTAATACATTGGCGATGCAGTATACAATACATACAGTGTGATAGAGAAACCTGACACAAAGCATCTCTGTCCGCACATCTCTGTCTAATGGGCCGAATTTATCAACCACTTGACCTTCTCATTGGTCATTTAGATCATGTGGTCAATAAACCTGGCAAATTAGAAAGATATGCAGGGACTGCTTTGCATTCTCTATCACACCAGAGGAACAGACTAATATCGCAAATCACCTACCTCTAGATTTTTTTTTTTTGTTTAATAAAACTCCAACAGGAATCTTATGACTATTGCTATCTGATCATTCACTATGATCAATAAGCAAGTTAGTTCTATATATATATATAGATATTATATATATATATTATATATATATATATATTACAACAAACTTATCTAAGGTTATATTCAGCAATATTCCTTAGGCTCTAATACATTATAGTACTACTAGCTAACGTGTACACTTTAGCCGCACTTTACTCTGCTTTTTCACTTTCACTCACTTATAGCACTAAATCAAACGGCTTCGTTCTCTTTAGTCTTCTTATCTGGTTGGCGTTGTCTAGGAGTTTGATGGCCTCGACGTCCACGTGGTTGGAGAGCCTCTGTTCATGACTCTCGGCAAACTTACTTATTGTCTGGATAACTGTATCCATCTGGAGGTCTCGATGAAGATCACAGTTTCTAAAGTACCATGGAGCGTTGACGATGTTCCTTAATACTTTATTCTGATATCGTTGTATATGTTGGATGTTGCTTTCTTTTGTACAGCCCCATAGCTGTATTCCGTATGTCCATATCAGTTTAAGGACTTGCTTATATAATAGCAATTTGTTGTAAATAGACAGAGTGGATTTTTTTTTCCCATCAACCAGTACATTTTTCTGAACTTAATTTCTAATTCCTTCTTTTTTTTCTTAACATGTGCTTTCCAATGTAGCTTGGAATCTAACGTCATACCCAAATATTTTGCAGTATTTGCATAAGGTATTTGGTTTCTATTTATATGTACTGGGATATGTTGTTCTCTTTTGTTAGTAAAATTGACATGAACAGATTTTTGTTTCATTCAATTTGATACGCCATCGGTTGGTCCAGATGTTAATTTGTTCAACAGAGTTCTGTAACATGGTAGCTGCATCCTCGTGGTTTTGTCCGACTGCTAGTATGCATGTGTCGTCTGCAAATGTCGCAATTGTGTTAGGTTCTAATGATGGAATATCGCTGGTATAGAGCAGGTATATGCACTGGCCCCAGGACACTTCCTTGTGGAACTCCAGCTTTAACTTCTCCTAATTCTGAATATGCTTCCTCATATTTAACTCGAAAGTATCTGTCTGATATATATGATTCTAGTAGTTCAGAATATTGTTTTGGTAAGTAGCATCTCATTTTATGATATAGTCCATCATGCCACACCTTGTCAAAAGCCTGCGCTACATCGAGGAAAATTGCGGAACAAACTTTTCCTTCTTCTAGAGCTTTTTCTATGATATCTGTTATTCTATGCACCTGATCTAGCGTTGAGTGGCTTGCTCTAAACCCAAACCCATTTACAAAAAAATATAGACAAAATGTAATTTATCTATATCTCCCTCTCTCTTTCTGTCTCTCTCGCTCTCTTTCTCTCTCGCTCTCTTTCTCTCTGTCTCTCTCTGTCTCTCTCTCTCTCTGTCTCTCTCTCTCTCTCTCTCTCTGTTTAATGTCCTGAAGATCAAAAAATTTATTTTCTTTATATAAAACTCTTTAGCTTCAAACAGTCTGCATTTAAAAGACCTGTTACTCTATCCTTCCATAGAATATTTATGGTGTAGTTGTTTAAATGCTCCATATATTTTTTTCTTTTTGGAGTAATTGTACTTCTTGATATCTTACACTGCTGCAATATTTTCAGTGGTGTGATATTCTTAAGGGAAACACCTAAAAGTAAATGTTATGTTAATTTCTTTATCCAATGTATCTCAATTATTGTACATCTCTACTTGTCGAAGGACTTTCAACTAAAACAAAAAGTTAATATAATAATTTATACCATGATTCACTTCAAGTAAAATAATTTTTATTAATTACATATCAGGGTTACTTACTGGTACATTTGCTTCCTCACACAACATTAAATTCTTCTGGCATATACATTAGAAGAGAAATCTAAAATCAATCAGTTATTTGTTCTCAGGAATTTCATTTGGATACAATCTATGACTCCATGAAGAAGCAAACTTATCTTCAAAGTGCCTGTTGCATATTTGTTTTGTTTTAAAATCTGTAGTAGAATTCATCATATCTAAATTAGGATTTTTTATAACACTAAGTCACTTCCTAAATCGAATATCTTTATCAGGATATGGAAAGGTATGTCTAATTGTTGACTAAATGATACAACATTTATTGTAAAAAACCATATTTAACTAATTATTATTAATCTGGAAAACACTGTTTGAACACCAGGAACATTTAAAACACAGGTTACTGAGGTAGGTGATTTGTAATTTAGAAACTGGTATGAGGTTAATTCTAACAATAACCTAGATATATTAAACCACAATTAGTTTGATTTCTTTACAATTTGCAATAATAACCATGAAACCAAACAATAATTATAGACACATAATAACCATACTAATCAATTATTGGCAGTTCTTCTTCTTAGGGTGCCTGTCCATTCTGAACATTGGCAATCATTCTGGCTATGATGACTTTGTTGGTTGTTATACGAAATAGCTGTGTTGAGGTCTTTCTATACCATGCTCTCAGGTTAGCAAGCCAGGATATTCTTCTTCGTCCTGGGGCCCTCTTTCCTTCAGTTTTACCTTGTAAAATGCACTGAAGTAGCTCATATCTGCCTTGCTTTCCCATTATATGGTCCAAGTACTGCAGCTTAAGACCCTTCACGATGTTGACCAAATCCGCAGTTCTCTTCATTCTCTGCAGTACTTCATTGGTGACTTTGTCTGTCCATGGTATCTTCAAGATCCTTCTGTATGACTATAGCTCAAAAACCTGAAGTTTTGATAGAGTTTCCGCCTGACAGTTAGCAATTGACAATATTATAATTTTTAATTTTGTTCTAAACCTAAACTGCAGAGACATCAAAAGATTAGTAGCAGTACTACAAGTGGCATTTAGTTTAGTTTGACTATGGTCTATGTTAAAAACATAGGGCAACCTAACCTGTATTTTAAATTACCTATAATTTTGTTAATAGCTAAGATACTACAGTTTTTAACTATTGTTTAGGGATTAGACACTTAGGAAATCTGATATGAATAAACTTGCAGCCCTTTAAAGGTGGTGTTATGGCAGCATCCTGAAAACAAGAAAGTTTGATTACTTTTTGGTTCCCCAATTGGCCCATCTCCATATCTTTAGCTGCTCTAAGAGTTTCACAGATTGAGTCATCGTCATCAGTGACATCACAGCTCGTTATGAGCCAAAGCCTTCTTCAGAACAATCCTTCATTCACCCTTGTCTCTGGCAACTCTTATCCATGTTCTCCAATAGATTTTAAATCATCTTCCAAGTTGTCTTAATATTTAAGTCTCAGTCTTCTGGCTTGTGGTCCCATTGGCTTTCTTCAGTCAAAAACTTTTTTGACTATTGCACATTTCTCTTGCCTGATTACATGCCCTATCCATCTAAGGCGTGCTGCCGTGATGAATTTTACAACATCAGGTTTCTCAAAACTTCTATGCAACTCGAAGCTGTAACGTTCCTCTTAGGATTTTTCACTCGAAAAGTTTAAGCAGTTCTTGTAATAGTTATTGGCAAGCACTATTCTTCTTTTAATTTCTTCGCTGTTGTATTGTATTTTTGTCAAATATTCGCTGTCAAAAATTGTATTTTTGTTATGATTATAATTAAATATATAAATAAATTCCAAAGTAAAACTATTTTTTGTAGCAATAAAACATTATCAATTCAGAGTAAATATGAGTCAAGATTATGACTTGCTGGGAGTATCCCAAGATGATCCACAACTTATAATGTATATTAGAGCAGTTCATCTGACACCAGCTATTGAACCAAATCACAAACCATTGAAGTCGGAAGATGAAATATCAGAAGATACAGCATATGTTATTAAATTGTTAAAAAATAAGGTAGGTTGGATTCCTAAATATGTTTACTGGTATCAAAAATGCGTTTAAATTACATTGTTCTGTCTAGTTTTTTAAGAATTAATACTTTGTATTTATTTACACTTTACGCTTCTTCCACTGATAAATCGATTCGGGAAAGTATTGTTTAAATACTCCCTAATTATTCGAGCGTTGTCAAATGAACAGCCGTCTTGATGAAACCAAACATTCTGCAGATTTACATCAGGAAGATGAAGAATAGCGGGAAGAACATGATTCTGTAACAAATCGAGTTATATTCTACTATTCAAGTTGCCCTCAATAAAAAAATGGACCTATTATGTGGTCTCCTAAAATGCCAGTCTAGACGTTAGCTTTTTGAGGACGTTGAGTTTGGTAAACAACACTTCTGTGCTGGTTTTCCCTCGTCCAATACCTCGTAATGGAGGAATTGTGTTTGTCTACTAACGAAACAGAATATTCATCAGTGAATAAAATATTTTTATTAAAATTTGGTTTATCATTAGCCTTCATTATTGGAGTTTCACAAAACTCCATTCTTCAAAAGTAATCGTCTGGATAAAGTTGCTGCGTTTTTGAATATTTAGAATTCTTGCAAACGTGCTTTTTCCTTACTTTCTTTACAGTAACATTGCTAATATCTAACTTTTTAGCAACGCTTCTTCTTGACCGTGTTGAATATACCTCGATTGTTGCAGAAATTTGTGTACCCCGGTATTCTCTTTCCTAAACTTTTTTTGATGACACTCATGACACTTCTTGAGCGTGACATTTTCTACAATTTTTGAGGCAATAAAAACTCAAAATTTATAACATTATAAATTTGACTGTAATCAAGGAATTGGCCTCCTCTCAAAAAACACAGAAAATAAATCTACACAGTGTTGCCCAGAATTACCACCATTATACCATTTTATTATTTGAACTTTTTCTGCGGGCGTATAAACAGACATTTTTACAAAAATAAATTAAAAATCTACGCTGTTTACGCTTTAAACAACTACTGTATAATAACAAATTATTGGAGGGTCAACGAAGCAGGTTCGTGGAAAGTCGACGGCGTGCAGTGTTGCCATTTATAGGGTGTATATCTAAATATCTAATTTAAAACTTAACTTATAGGTATGTATGCAAACAATAATGGAAAATATTATTTTAGCATAAAGGTTTCTTTATCGAAGCAGGAGCATATAGTGACGGTAAATCAAAAACTGAATGGCTTGAAGGAAATCTCAGCTGGCAAGGTCTACTGATCCAACCTGATCCCCGTCATTACTTCAGCCTTCGTAGACACAATCGTAAACATTCCCAAGCTATACACGGCTGTATTAGCCCTTCTCCACACCCAAAGGAAGTCTCGCTACATCCAGAAAATGGTGGAATTAAAGTAAACAGCATACGATCCAGTTTATTAGATATGGATGACAGCGACTGGTTCAACACTAGGGTCAAATGCTTCCCTCTGTATTCATTGTTATTAGCTACAAATGTAACTAATATTGATTATTTGATATTAGAAACAGGTGGTACAGAATTACAAGTACTGGAAACTGTGCCTTTTGAAAAAACGAACATTGAGGTTATAAACGTTCAAGTTAGAAGTAACGATACCGAGAAAGATACGCTTAAAAAATTTTTAGCACTTAAGAAATATAAATTTATGGAGAATTTTAATGAATCTTACGTATTTATGTTAAATCATTGAAAAGGTATGTTCTTTATACGATATCTTTTGTAAGTTATATGGGTATACCCAAACTTAAACATATAGAGACAAGTTAAAAAGTATTGCAGGTTACGAAACTTTTGAAAATGAATTATGTCCATTAATCACAATTTGATCTCCATAAATAGTTAATTAAGCTATAATTGAATAAAGTTAGCTATAGTGTTCTTTAAAATTTTGCAAATGTATGGTAACATTTGTCATGTTATATGTACCAATTGTTGCCGATCCCAAATGTAGGAAATATTTATTATGATTCGTTTGGAGAGTATCGTACTTTTAAATTTCCAATGAGTCTGCAATGTCATTCTCAGCATTTACTTCGCCAGTGAAGAAAAGCAATCATAGCTCGGTAATGCTCATCATCAAAAAAGCAATATTAGCCCAGTAAAAATATTTTGTGGGAAAGCAAAATATTACCTGCAGAAAGGTACCTAAATCTTAATTTGCAACTTTTTGTTTTCTCTCATCTGGCATGTGAAAGATAGTATGTCTCATAATTTGTAGTACTCAGCTTTTTTGTAGCTGTCCCGTGAACATAAGACATACGTTTAAAAGCTTCCCTTATAAAAATGAATTTTGTACATTCTCTTAAGCGTTTTGCTTTCGTTTTGATCCAGCATTAAAATTAACATTTTTAAAATATAGTATGGTCTAAAGTTCCTCCCCTGAAACTATTTCTCAACCATCAAACCGGAAATAATAAATTTTTGGCTAACTGAACAAAGGCACCTACTCATACATTTTGTGATGTTTTACTGAAGTATATTTGCACAGTATGTTCCTCAAATTGTGTGCGAATTAGACCACCACAAGTTAGCAAATAAAAAGCATCTTTCGTGGCACTCTTTGATACAGGTATCTAAGAACTGCTTTTATTAAACTTAGTGAAAAGAATATGTAATAAACAAAATATGCACAAGATTAAACGTCATTTTTTTACTTATAAACAATAAGAGGTCTCCCAATAAGAATGTCCTAACGTTTTTTTAAACGAAAACGGTAAAAATTGCTGTAAATCAAAAAAAAATTATTGCAAAATAATGTTCCGAATAACACATCATTCAAATGTCCACCGCGACTACGTTTGCAGGAGCGAATCCGATGAACCCAATTTTCGGTCACTTTATGCAAAATATCCGCATTAATCTGACGAATGGTGTGCTCTATGTTCCTTTTCAAGTCTTCAATAGATTGTGGTTTGTTCACATAGACCAATAACTTAACATAGCCCCCTAAAAAATCCAACGGTGTTAAATCGCAGCTTCTTGGAGGCCAAGCATCTGGTCGAAGTTGCTGAATTCTTCTAGGATCTCTGGCATCAAGAGAAATCAATGTTTCCGGGAACTTTTCCTTAAAAGAAACAATGGTTGGGGTAGTAGTTGTAAAAACATGCTATCCAAATCCATTTCATCCAACTGTTATAAGGATAATTTCTAAACGTTGTTCAAGCGTCTATCTTGCTATGGTAATTTGTTAGAGTATACTAAATACAAACGTCAACAAGTGACAGTTCTACCATTTTAAAAATGGCCGATATGACATTTCAATAACAGGACGTTCCTATTGGGAAACCCATTATAAACAATGTAATCTCGCTATTTTATTTTAGATACTGTATACATGACCTACTTTGCCAGCAAATTTCAGGTTCATTTAAATATTTTTTTTTTCTTGACAATTATAAATATATACAAAAATATTTTGAGAACTCGCGAGATATTAACAAAAAATGTACTTATCATTTTTCTAATATCTTCAAAATTGATATCCGATATGTCTCATATGTTTGGATAAACAAATCATATATATTTTTTCTTAAAAAGTTTACGGTGTAGTACGTTTTTTATTTTTACTATAATCACGAAATATTTAACGGTTTTTATTTTATAAGAAATTGTATCACCATAAAAGTACCAATTTTTAGATTATTTCCATCTACGGTAATTTCATCAGACTCGATATTTTCAAACGTTTTATCCTGCTCTTCTTGATATAATTCATCGGCTTTCTCATCATTATCATCGTCACTGTTATTCATTTCCATCTCTTCCAAATTCTTCAAATTGAACTGATTGACTGGGTTCAGTATTAAGCAACTTTTTCTTTCCTTTAATGGTATCCCCTTTCTTTTTTTATTGTAAAAAATTTAATAATGCATTATCAATTTCAGAACTTACTCTTTTCGCAAATCTCTCATTTGGCATCGTTTTTAGCACTTCACGTGGGTTAAAGGAACAAATTGCAGTTGCGCGAAATGAACTTAAAATGGTTCAATCGCGTTTATTAGTTTTGTTAGCAATTGAGTGAAGATGGTTTTTTCAACTGAATTTAATTTAGGTTGACAGATTTTGAATCAGTAAGGATTTTTTCTGGGCTCTTTTTAAAGGCCGAAAAAATTCAACATCATGTGGTTGTGTAAGTTCTGCATTAGGTGGCAGAAATCCAATCTTTATATTACTTTGACAAGCCCTTATTATCGTAATATTTAGATGTGAGGACAAGTTGTCACCAATAAAAACCTTAGTGCTGTTGTCCCATTTTGACCACGGTAAAACAACTTTAAAAAACTAGTCTTGGAAAGTTGATCCATCAAACTATCCAGGTTTTGTTCTATTATACAATGTACGAGGAGGGCCCCACCCGTTATTCATCTATCATATAATCTTTCAGCTCTATAAACGACACACAGTGGTAGGCGTTCTCCTGTTGCAGTAGCTGCGAATATTATAGACACTGCGATTTTAGTGGCATTCACATAACTTTTCTTTAGGATGTTTCGAAAGAAAAGTATTAAGGTGAATCTATGGAGCAGTGAATGACTATGGAGAAGACGATACAACTTCGAACTTTATAGAATATACCAGGAACCTGATATCATAAAACATATTAAGATAGGACGTCTGAGGTGGATAGGGCATGTAATGCGGATGAAACAAAATGACCCATTTAGAAAACGCTCCTTGATAGATCCATTGGTCTGAGAAGAAGAGCAAGACCCAGAACAAGGTTCCTTGATAACATCGATGAAGATATGAGAAATATGGGAATATGTACGTGCTGAACGGAGGAAAGAGATGGATAGGGACGAATTGAGAGAAATTCTTGAAAAGGCTAGGGCCCATGCAGGGTTGTAAAGCCAGAACGATGATGATGTATCTTTCCGGGTATTTTGTTCGACGTCGAAATACACATTTTTGGGTACCAGGGTCGTCTGACAGATTTGTTTCTTCATAACTGAGGATATTTTGAGGTTCGATGTTTACAAGTATTATTTTTAAATTATTGAAATATCCCTCTATGATTTCTTCAGTGTTTGTTGCCCTGGATCTTTTAACGCCGGCCGTGCCTTCGAGTGAAAATGTGCTTATGTCGTTACAAAAAAGCCTTGACCCAGTCACACATAGGAAGGTTGCTAGAGAAATAAACAACCCTACTTCCTCTGGCATCTAAATACAATTTGACAAGTATTCTAATCTCTAGACTTGTTAAAGGAGCAACCATATTCTGTACTTACTATAACAACATCCACTAAATGACGTCTTCTATTTTAGTGAATGCAATGGGATAGCCAATGCCGGAAAGATGCGTTCGTTTAATTTTGTTCAGAATGATTTCCTTAAAACCTTAAAACGTTTCTCTGCCTGACAGAAACTTAAACCTGCTCTTACTGCTTCCTTAGCTCGTTCAAGCATAGCGTCAGAGTAGTTTACATACTGCCTTGCTCCCAATTTTTGATTTGCTTTTTCTTGTCATTTTGATTGGTTCTTGAATTTTTTTACGTAAATATTAATACTTTATGCCATTAAACCCAAAAGCACACCTTAGTTTCCTTTTAAATGCCTCTAAAACATTATCATCAGTTGGCGCTACAGCCCTTCGTGAGCCTTGGCCTGCTTCAAAACATTCTTCCATCCTTCCCTATCGAGTGTCTGTCTTCTCCAGCCCCTCACTCCAATCTCCCTCAGATCTTCCTGTACATCGTCCAGATATCTGAGTTTAGGTCGCCCCCTTCTTCTTCTTTCGACCGGCCTGTTTAGCATAGTTATTTTAGTGCGATCACACTCATCCATCCGCATAACGTGGCCCACCCACCTTAGGTGGTTTATTTTGATGGTCTTCACAATATCTGCATCACCAAAAAGTCTATAGAGTTCAAAGTTATATCGCCTTCTCCACAGACCCTGTTCGTTTACTCCTTCAGTTAAGGCAATATTAAATAAGACGTACAAACAAAAATTTATAGGGGATGTACTAGTGTACACCCAGCAGTGCCTAGCTTTTAAACTACAAAAACTGCCTTGATGGCATGTTTTCTGTTTTCTGCTGTAGGGACAATAAATATCACATCTATTCAGCTATACAAATTTCAAGAAGTTTCACGGAACAGTTGCAAAATTGAAATTGTTTATACATGAAATTTTTTATCTACAACGTTAATATGCGTAAATTATTAGGTCAACATGAATTTTGAAAGTAACAAATTGAAGAGAAAGGCTTATTTTATCAAATTCAATAATTTAACGATTTAACAATTTTTGTTAAATATTGTAAAATAGGTTTACAAAAGTATTATGATTTTAAGCTTATAAACATTTAAAATGACTCAGGCGCATCGAACATGTAGGAAGTTAATTTTTTTATTCGAAATGTTGGCATTTTTACAGGAATTAAAAAAATACAACATTCAACGACCCTTAGAATACAAGTTCGCTTTTTTTCAAAAACTTTACCGGAGCTTTGTTTATAAACGTTAATAAACTTAAAAACCATCATTTGAAAGATTAGCTCAAGTTTTGACAATTGATAATACATATTGTTATCACCAAACATCTTGCTTAGTTATCCAAAAATCTATTTATTTATGTTTTATAGTTCGGAAATAATTGAAAGGGGTGAAATTTAAGATGGACTTTTTAAAATTTTTATTATACTTATATTATTTTATCATTATCCATGCAAGTTGTTCTATGTTGCAT